CATTCCTGCACACTGAGCAGATAAATATCTGCTTGCATGGTACCTTCTGAATTTCTGAAAAGTGTCGAGTTTGCAAATGGCATAGCCTGTTTCACAAGTGCCACTGGCACACAAGGTCCCAATGCCATCATCGAAAGAACAGTCCCCAGAGTAAGTCATTGTGCCAGTCTGTGTCAACTGGATCCTGCAGTGAGACCCAAAAGGGCAAAAGCACATGCTCCTGCTTTTCCATATTAGATCTTTATTCTTCGAAAGCAATGCTCTGAACTTAAGAGATAATCATCATTTATTCATTCCTCACTAACAAGCCATGACTCTGCCTGACATCAACATGCTGTGTGCCATGTCCTAGACAGGTGGGTGGCTACCGCTGCTTTGGTGACTGAAGCTTTCTTTCATCCGCACATTTGCCACAGATGGATGGGTAGGCCCAAGTAAAAATAACATAAGGAGAGACATGCCACATCGCCAGGCAGCATTAGCAAAAGGACACAGACAACTGATGCTGTCCCTAGAAACTGTGAAGCTGAAGCACCTCAACAGCAGAAGCTGGCTGTCCCAAAATACTCTTCTTTGCCGGGACAAGGTATGTACTGACACCACGAGCCCCTCCGCTCCTGTGCCAGCTCTGCTCATTTGTGTGATAACCCAAGTCCCCGCATACCAGAGCACACATATATCAAGAGCTTTTTATCCAGCATCTTTCATGAATGAGGATCTTAATGGAGGGAGACCAGAGTCCTTGTCCCTACAAACTCCCCATCTAAGGAAAATTTCCTAATCTTGGTTGCCTTCTCTCCTTCTCATTGCTAGCGGAGCTGTTCCTGATCTACTCCACTGCAGCACGTAAGCAAGCAGAATCAAGCCTGCTGTTCAAGTCAGAAGGAAAGAGCCTGGTCTCCCACAATACAGAATCTCCTCACTTCAACCAGAGCAGAGAGGGGGAGGATCAAGCCTTTCGGGTACAAGAATGTTGCTGCTTATCCCATCTTCTATTGGGCAGGGTTTTTTTCAGAGTCACTGGGACTGGCGATGGTGCAGGGCCATATTCAGGGCTAACAAGAAAGCTTGTTCCGTGAATAAAGAATGACCCGAGATGAGCAAACCAGCAGTAGAATAAAAAGCCTGGGATCACTCCACAGCATCTAAAGACAAAACTGTGTCTTTGTTAGGCCAGAGGTGAATCCAGTTGCATCAGAATTCATCAGTCCCAGGAGAGAAGCATTGAGGTAAGAATGCAGTGAATCCACAACAACAGAAGGGGTTCCTGGTAGCGGTGATCTCTCCTGACACTGTGTCTATTCCTCCCCAGCTAGCCACAGGGAGGGAAGGAGTGACTTCTTCCATTTTCAAATTCAACACTGTCCTGATAGCCCCTGTTGTTGCCACCTCCACACCCGAGTGCCTTGGTTGCTATGAAAAAGGTGTACGCTCATCAACAGGTAATGAGTAAACTCACTGAACTCAATGAACACTGGAAGTGCATGAGCTTAAGCAGTTGGATTGATCTTTGCAGGGCAGGGGATTGTCTTACATTTTAAGTTCTTTAAGGTCAAAGTGACTAGGCAATTGAGTAAAACCTTGCAAAAACGTATGAATACTGAAAATAACTGTGGAACCATTCATTTCCCCCCCTCGTTTGCCAGAGACTATTAAATTGGATTTACTACCCCGATATCGGCTATTTTTTGGTATCCATCCAAACCTTCCTGGGTATGATGTGATTTGACCCGAGTAGGAGACAGGCTCAAGAAGAAAGCCAGGCATGCAAAATTGTGTGGCTATTATTGCTTGCTCTGATAAAAATCATGGCTGGAGCTAGGGTAGCTTCTCTGAAAATATGACTGGATTTATCATGCTATCAGATGGTTACTAAAGAGGAATATGCTCTTATTCGATGGTGGTGTAATAAAGCACATTTGGCCTGCGGCCCAGATAACAAGCAGGGAATAGGGCAAAGCTGTGCATTGTAAGTAACCCATGGGATCAACATCTCCCTTTCCCAACACCCATTCTATTTTTACCTTTCTGTTTTGGCTTCCTTCCCAATTGGAAAAGCGAAATTGAGACAGTAATGAAAACAATGAGACATGATATATTGATTCGAGAATTCCAAGTGCTCCTTGCCCATATGCATCTTCCATGTCCTTTTTGGTCACCAAAATGCCTTTGAAATAAGGAGGAGCTTAGAGCAATGCTCTCAGGCATGAGGAAAGAGACCATGTGAGATATGTGAAATGGAAAGACGGGTCTGTAAGACAGGGGCACTTGGAAAGCCATACTGTAAGAGTGCAAAACCTCTTTCCTCGGCAAAAAGACACATACTGATAATTTCCTCATTGGTTACTTCCATCACACACAAGGCAACACAGTTCCACTCATTTCTCCAGTTCCAGTGTAAAACTGGCCAATTTTTTTTCCTTCGCTTTCAGGGCTCAAACTGGGAAAGTGCACGTTAAGGTTAGAGGCCTTGACAAACTCTGGAGCAACTGGAAAGTTCTCCTAGGTTATAGTATCATTTACTGATAGAGCTTTATCTCCGCTGATGACCCTATTACTGTCCACGAAGTCAAACTCCTCTGCTTACAGGTTTGTTAAGAGCAGTCTTCTAAAGGACACACTCCCTTGGCCTTTAGGGGCCAGCATAAAACTCTCATACACTTTCCCATGTTCTCGGGAGACTAAGACTCTGGGTGGTTGCCAACACAGGTGAGAAAAGGATAGATGGATCTTATTCCTCTGCAGAACAGACACAATATAGCAGCCTTTCTCCTCCATCCCCTTTGAAGTACACGACAATGCAGAGGAGACAATGAAAAAGACAGAAATTTGATGTGAACACACCTAGGAGTAATCAAGAAAAGATCCTCCTCTGCAATTTGACCAGAAAAGCACACCCTTCTCAAAGGAAGGAACTCCTGTCTAAAAGGAAGTTCATTCAGAGTGAGGGAGGTCACAAATGTGCAGCGTATGGCATATTCTACATCTATTCCTTATACCATGGGGTTAGGAGAGATGATACAGTTGATCAGATCTAATAGTATACTGTGGCTGAGATGGAGACGCGAGTCCCCTGTCACTATCCTCACTCCCACTGTTTGTGTTGCGCCAGCTCTGGGTTCATCAGAACACTTTATGAGCCAACTCAATCATTCAACCCAGCATAAAACCAGTCCAAGTAAAAGAGAAATGGATTTGCTCTCTTCTGGGCTAGTAAGCTGAGTCAGCCCAGAATAGAGTCTGAAGAGCCCAGGAGCCAATGGAAGAAGAAGGAAAGAACTGGGTAGCACTCAGAGCAGCAACTGGAAAAGGAAGAAGACCACGACCACTTCTGCTGGGCACTAGTCTGGTTCTTAGCATGCAGTAAGACTACCCTTGAATGGAGTCAGTTCCTCAGTCTCACTCTGCACAAAGCATGCTGATTAATTACTGCACAGTGAATTTGTATCGTACCTCATTGCCCAGTAACTTCCAATGGCAGACACAGCTCTCACCACGCTGGCAAAGCTTCATAAGCCAATAGGGCAGCAGGGATCGATGTCAGCAGGGAAGCTGTCCCTGCCTTGAAAAAAAAATAATCAAAGAAGAGATGCTTTCCTTCCAGAAGGGCGGTGGGACACAACTGCTGTATTCTCTGACAGCTACCCACTGGGGTGGACAATGTATTCCTCTGTGGGAATGCTGCTTTTGGTAAGGTGTCAGAGAACAATGCTGTCACCGGCCCCAGCCACACTCATGTTTTCCATGTCTCTTTCTGTCTTCTGTTCTCACATAGTTACTTGCGCCTTTTATCTGGCTGGAGCAGGAGCCATTTATCTCCTGTCGTACGTTGCTTCCCAGGGCGAGTCTGCCTGTCCCTTCCCCCTTCTCCCTTCTCCTGTCCTCAACAGCTTGAAAACCATACCTTAAATTCTGTAAAGTAACCAAAGGCCTTGTTCTCTGCCATCAAAAGAGTCCAAAGGGCTTGCTGTGACAGATGCTGGACAGTCCTGGTACTGGAAACCTCCATACTGCTGCCAGCCAAAATTCTGCTCGTGAAGAGACTAAGACTGTACCTCTCCACCATCGCTCTCCACTGCCACCACCAAAAGAGCAGTGAGAATAAAGATCCTCAGGGTCTCGGTACTGAAAGCAACAAAGGAGTAAAGAAGTGAGAATGGAAGCTAAAATGAAGCACTGAAGAGCAGGCAGTAGGACGAGGAATGGATGTGTGTGATGTGTGGTGTTGTATAAGCACCTGGAGTTTCGGTACACATGGGTCTATCCCATCTACACTCCACTTACTCTTAAATTGGGCTGTGAGAATAAATTCAGTGTTGCCCACAGATGCTTAACCACTTCTCATACTGTGCCTTTTCCGCTTGGCAAGGAAGTGCTATCTCTAGCTAAAAGCTGAAGGTAAAGCTGTCTTTGTTTTTTCTGCACAGACGAACAGGTCAGTCTGTGTTGCCTCCCTCTGGTGAGGAAACTCCTCAGCCTATTTTTGAATCATTGTTTTCCTGCCATTGCTGGGGTAGAGCAGAAGCACAGTGGCTGACCTCAAAGAGAACTCAGTTCAGGGCTCCTACTTCTGCAACATTAGTGACTGAGTTTTGAAAATATGGACATTTCCCCTTAGCAGACAGTGGCCTGACAAGGACTAGCAAATCGAGAAGCTCAGAGAGGAGCTGGCACGTACCCGATTTCCAGAGAATCTGCTGTCTTCCTGCAAACAGATGACCTTCAAACACAGCCAGGTGGCAAGCACACAGGAACACTTGAAAGTTTCAGAGGAAAAACATGGCAGGCTTTTTATCCCAGCAGGCATCTGCTCATCCTCCTGCTGACTCTCCATTTCCCAGTGACCTGCAAAATGCCTTCTTTTGGAGAAGAGTCCTATAGAAAGGCTTACTGCATGAGTGTTTATGTTTAAGAGTTTAAGTCCAGAGAAAGTATTTCACAAATTCTGCCCCTTCTGGCAATCGGCCCTTAGCAAAAGGTTTCTCTAATGTTTAAACCAAGCATCTGCATGGGTGTGCACTTCATACTGACGAGTAAGAGGTTCCTGCTGTGCGAGGGCAGTTTGTTCATGAGCCAGCCAATTTTGCAGCAACTCTGCATTGGATCTGCAATGGGAGAATATTATTGTTTATATTCCTCCAACAAAGTAAATATGCGCT